CGAAACAGCTCACAAGCAAAACCCAAAGCAAACGACTAAACGAATATTTGAGCAAAAAAAACGACTAAGGGAATAATATAGGCAGCCAGCTCCTATTGGCCTACCCACACCATCTCCACCGTTTGATTCTTCCCACGTGTCTTCACAGAAGCCCTTGATTCGTGTTCGGTGTTTGTTCACTTGGAACATGGAAGCTGCTTTCAAACACTTTCATACCAATTAACAATTTAATATTGTGTTATATGCTTTGAACGAACATAATCATCGAGCCCTATCGCTTTTCAGCAAGTCCCTTTCCTTGAAACATTGCTTTCAAACGTTTACCTAGTATATAACTTAAATTATTTTGCATAAAAGTCCCTATATCTTGATATATTTAACTCATCCTGTATAAAGCCTAAACTTAGATACGTAGATTCATTCACAAAATTAGTAAACGTTTTCTTTATTTCCCTTAAAAATTAAAGAATTGAACTTAGGTCATATGTTTAGTGGTTCGGACTGGACTAGACTATTTCAATTAAATTGGATTAGTGTATTGGTCGTTATTTGATGAATTTATAATTGTTGGGATTAGACTTATTAAATTGGATAACAGTTTAACATATTGTGTCTTATAAGTCTCATCTATAAAAATGAAACTCATAAGAATTGATTTCGACTCAACTCAAAACCAGTCCAAGTCGAGCCACCAAACAAATTTGAGGTTTACAACTTTGTTGTGTTGTAGCATGTGTATAGAATCTGAGCTTTACAACTTAATTATGAACGGTAAGATTTTCTCAACTTTTTTATGTATATACCAGACAATGTAGGGGCATCAATGCAAATTTGAAGTAGTCTGTGTCTTGTATCATTTCTTCCACACCAAGGATGATGGTTTCCCTATTAAGAAATGAGAAGGTGAAGAACCCATATATAATAATTTTAAAATTCAATGAAACCTCCAGAACAACAAATATCTGGGTCCTTAAAGTTGTTGTTTCTGCTGTTTGGAGGGGTCCACTACCTTTTCTCTGTTTGAATCTGCTGAAAAGAACAAAAAGAGTCTATATAAGAAGTAGGCCTGTGTAAAAGAAATATGTCATTGGAAGGAAGGAAGTAAAAGAAAGCAGAGCGAGCAGCCTTAGAAGCCTTTCTCTTTGAGAGTTGTAAGGCAAGGAAAGAATCCTTGCAGTTTCTTTAGGGACAGCTAACTTTCCAATGTTCTCTATATAAATTTTGTTCATCAAGTAATTGCTAAAAGGCATCTAGCTCTCTGTTTTTTTTCTCTCTTGCTCATTTCATCACCTGTCATCTCTGTTTTCTCATTAGTCTCCTCTCCTTTACAACTTTTTTCCTAGCTGAGCTTGTGTTAAGCATACGCAGCTTCTCTTAGACTCATTTTGCTTGAGTAAAAAAAATAAAATCCTTGAGACCTGAAAATGGGAGTTGGAGGAACTTTGGAGTATTTGTCTGATTTAGTGAACAACAGTGGCCATAAACACAAAAGAAGAAGCAATTACAGACTGTGGAGCTCAAAGTCAGAATGGACTGTGATGGCTGTGAGCTTAAGGTCAAGAAGGCCCTCTCTTCTTTAAGTGGTATGTTGTTGTTAATATTGTATCATTTTTTCTTCTTTGAAAGTTGAAAATTTTGAGCTGAAAATGTTGGGTTTTTGTTGTTTTGCAGGAGTTAAGTCTGTGGAGATTAACAGGAAGCAACAGAAGGTGAGTGTGACAGGTTATGTTGAAGCAAACAAAGTGCTGAAGAAGGCAAAGTCAACAGGGAAGAGGGCAGAGATATGGCCTTATGTACCCTACAACTTAGTGGCACAGCCCTACATTGCCCAAGCTTATGACAAGAAGGCACCTCCTGGTTATGTCAGAAATGTGGAGAACATGAACATGACCTCCTCCACTGGCACTGTCACAAGATATGAGGACCCTTACACCACCATGTTCAGTGATGACAACCCCAATGCCTGCTCTATCATGTAATAACATCATGGCATCTTCTCATTAGTCTCTCTCTCTCTCTCTCTCTCTCTCTCTCTCTCTCCCCCAGCTTTTCAAGCCCCTGTAATATTTTCAATCTAGGACCCTTTTTGTCTTCTTCATTTTCTTAGTTTTGTTTCTTATATTATTGTATTTTTGTTTTGGGTTCCCTTTTTTAAATGAGAAATATGAGGAATTAAGGATTTTGATCATGCTTGTTTTCTTGCCCTCCGACGGTCCATATCATTAAACTTATGTGGTTTCCAATCAGTGGTTGGGTTAAAGTTAGAGGAAATAATCCAAAACCATTAACCAAAATCATCGATTGGTAATAAGTGAGGAGGTTTAAGATTTTATATGCACAGAAGAATGCGATATTGGGTGAAGTGGAACAATGAACTTGAAATAGAATAGACGAGACAATTCTATATCACGCTTTTTATATTAACAACACTTTTAAACCCAAAAATACAAATAAAAAAGAAAAGAAGCAGTCGAATAGCTTTTTGGGTATTTGTTGAAACTAGTTGAGTTGTTATGAGGTACCTATCATACATAGCTTTATTTTTATGTTTACTTCTCGTGCCTCTGGGATGGCTTTGGTTTGTTCACAGCTGTATCTCTTCATCCCAAACGAGTTGGTGCTAGCTGGCTGTCTCTTCTATTTTAAGTTAAGGGGCCTTAGGGGTTGCTGTTGCGGCTCCATAAGCAAAACAACCATACATGGCAAACAAAGTGGAAGTGGACCTAGATTTCAACTTTGTAGGTCTTTGATGATTATACAAATAACAAATTACATATACAATGTGTGACATTGAAGATCCCCCAAGATTTTAAGTGACTAATATGAAATCGTATAATGTTGTTGCAAGGGTTTGTAGCTTTAGTGATAGCGTGCGTTTATGCCCACACTCATGACTAAAGTTCGAATCTCTACCTTCCGGAGGTTGTGTACGAAAATAACATGTCTAGGGCGTCTAGTATTCAAAATAATTGGCACCAACGTTAACATTATTCAAATCCATTTGGTTCCAGAAAGAGCTAAAGGAAATTGCTAAGGAAAGCAGATCCGTCTTTTTGGTTACTCAACCAAACATGAAGAACTAAGGAATCAACTTTCTTCCTTTCTTTCCCCTTTTAACCTTTTCTCTTTTCTTTCTGTATCCTTTCTCTGATCCAGAGGAAGCGTAAAGACGTTTTCATATGCATACCTAGAGCTCAAAAAACAATATCTTTGATAAAGCAATGTTAAGCAATCAACCCCACCTCTTAAATTTGTTTAAAACCATATTCACTTCACTCCAAATCCTAAAAATCAAAATTACAAGCATCTAAGGTCTAATCACAAAATTTATGTTTTCTTGTGAAGTACATATGCCATTTGACAGAATTTTGTACATAACTTCAATCACGGTGCACTGTTTACCCTGTCATTTATCATGTTGTCAACTTGCCACACATTACATAATGACTAATCATAGTTAGCATATGTGATTGCATCATTAGGAAAATGTTAATCTTAATAAGTTAATACGCGCAACATAATATACGTGATCACAAATGACCTGGTGACAATGATGCACTGCAGTTGAAGGTGGTGAGCAAAATGTAGGATAAAGGTAAAAAGCAAGCCCCCATAGTGTAAAGTATAGAAGGTTAAAGTGGAAAGAAATGAAACTACTGGACCACAACAACATATTCCCAAAGATAATTACTATTTATCAGGTCACTTCCTTTGATAAGATAAGTACCTACAACACTAGTATCCTCCATTTGTGGCATTGATGTGAGGGGAGGAGCCAAAGCCAAACTTGAAGTGGTGTTGGCCTTGTTCTTCTTTTTATTTTTATTTATTTATTTATTTATTTATTTTATTATTATTATTATATAGAAATGATATTGGGAGATGGGGGATTTGGACACAAGACTCAGTGAGATAACTGCTCTTAATCACTTAAACTACAAATCCCTTGCGTGTTAACCTCCATTTACAATGATAAAGTCATTTGTGATTAAGTTTTAAAGGTCCATACAAATCTAAAAATCCTAACTCCGCCCGTGGAAATATTGCAGATGGCAAACCATCAAACATATTGATGTACGCTATATGTACAGAAAAGGAAAAAAGATATACCAAGCTCCATGACAGGCCAGATGAGCGTACTAACCAACCGACAGGAACTTTGGTCGTTTTAATAAAGGTGACCAGACCAGTGTCAGCAATAAGAGAGCAGCTAGGCAGTGAGGTCCTCTAAATTTTCAGAACTAAGCCCATTTTGGGCAAATGTAGATATTCCAGAGAAAAGCCATGGTCTCAGCAGCAACATATCTAACATAAAGCAATCTGAAAGATTTGGTTAAGGATCTTTTATTTCATCATGCTCTTCTCTTCCCATAGGCATGCATTTTGAGACACCTTTTGCTGGTTTTCACAGTAAGATAAAATTGGAGTATTATGTCGTATGCCAAATATGTAAGCAACCATCCTAATCCCATCAGCATTACGGGTGCCACTGAAGAGTTAAAGCCAAAGCATCAGCTCTAAAACCAAATCTGGGAATTGTGCTTTTTTTTAAAAAAAAATGGAAAACTTTCATATGACCTATAGAGAAATGAACTCTCTGCTGCAACCCAGTGTTTTTGATTGAGCTTGACACTGATCACTTTATGAGGTGAAACTGCTAACTGAGCCTACTTTTATAGGTATTAGCATTCAAATCAGGGACAAGTAGTTTTTTTCAAAGTGTTTAAATTACATAAGATAAGTATGTTCATTAATAGTAATTTTCATGCGTTCCATAGAGGTAATGCCATATACATAAAAAATGTAAGGTAGAATGTAGAATGAAATAGGCGGGAGCTATACCGACTTTATTCAGGGATAGATCTCCGGTTAGCAAGCCAAGCGTACAAAAAGAAGGTGCTCTCATATATGCATGCTTGAGGAGTCCTGTCTCAACTTCTATTTAACAGTGGAAGCCTTGAGTTTCAGGAAAGTCAGGAGATGCACTTGATCTGGGTTCCCTATCTATTTGCTGGCAATGGCCTATTTCCCGAGTAGATACCTACGAAATTAATATCGTAGACAAGAGTAGCATTGCCGGGTATATTGCAGTCACCTATAAGAAAAAAATTATATATTATATCAGTTTCTGAATAGTTGTCAAAATGATTCACTGAGTATGCTTTCATTTCTCCTCATGCTCTAGGAATAAATTAGAAACCGTCACATTTAAGTGTAGCACTATGATACCATAAAATACCGAAAATTATGAAAGCAAATATCGACAATGTTGTTATTTAACTGTCCTGAGAAGTTAACTCATAGTATATAGCTAGTATTTCCAAACATATACAGATAATGAGGATGATAGTGACTTAACCACATATTTTATGGCCTTAGTATAGGCTAGGCATTTTAAGATGATAGAAAGTTACCAGTTTATGACTTTGGCCAAGGGCAAGAGTTAAAGATACCATAACCTAGGAAAACTAACAAGTCAAGTTATGGGTCCTCACCTGAGAAGCATCCTGCAGGTTCTGGTCCATATGCTAAATGTGAAGGAATGTGGAGCTTACGTTTTCCCCCTGTGCAACATTGTTGAGTAATGATTTGTTATCTTCTTTTTTCACAAATGGCAAAAACATAGAACACAATAACCAGTTCTGAAGTCCTACCTACTTGCATTGGAGGCACACCATCACCCCCATAAATTCCTTGATCCAATCCTCTAATGACCTGGACAACAAAGTATACATAAGATAAAGGTAAATGAGCACACATAAATGAGGCCATATGGAGAGGGATAAAACAAAGTGCAAAAGGGGAGATAAGCATTCGTTTATTGAGAAGTTGAATAAAACAAAGTCCAATTGTTCTGTACGACAAGTTGGACAACTGCATACAATACATACACCATGCCCAAATGCAGTTGCAATTTATCTAACAGCACACTCTCTTATGTTAAGGGAATAACATAAATTGCACCTAAGTAAGCGAAGACAGAACAGCCGTAGAACAGAGAATCAGCAGTTCACAGAAAGCAAAGTGCACATGATATAGGCAGTTAAGATGTAATTTTAGTATGAAAATATAACAAGTGGATAACCATAAGATATCTAAAAAGAATTTTTTCTTATGATTATTCTGTAACTTTTGCGCTCATTAAGCAGTGTGATCCTAGATTTAAAAGCTTCATGCATGATTAACGTCAATTGGGAAATGAAGAGATACTATTTCATCTAATTGGCAATAAAGTAGAGCATTATCAATCATTTGAGACAATTTCATACCTTGCCAACACCAATACGCATAGTCAGAGGTCTGCCACGTTTGTAGCTGCTGTCAAAGACTGTCCCATCAGCAAATCTTGCAGTGTAGTGAACCTGCATTCGTTTTAGCAGGTTATTGTGTTATTACGTTGTGCTTGATAACAACTGAAGTTTAAGAGAAATGGAGGGTAACATCGTACACAGGTAAGGTTTTTAGAGTTTATTCATCTGAATCTTGGTATATCATTTCCGGTCATTTATTTTCTAAACATGTACTGCGCAGTTTTGTTTTGTTTCTGAAGTTCTACACATAAAGGAGAATGTTGGTGAGTATTTTAGGCTGAGGCTAATTACATTGTCAAGTTTCTCTTTTTAACAGTGTAAATTTTTGGGATCAAACAACTAATTAACAGGCCAAGAAGATGAAATCATAAAACTGATTTGAACAGACCAAACAGATGCTGCTTGTATATTTGGTGCAAGTGAGTCAAGAAATTCTCCCCTGGCAGGTGAGGATAAGTTTCACTAAATATAGGGGGACAATTGCTCTCTATGAAGGAATGAGCGTTTAGATGGACTTTTATGGTTTTCAGAAGCTTGTTGCAGAGAAGTCCTACAGGTTTCTGGACATTTGACGTCATGACAATATATTCAAGGCATACAAAAACTATTTTCTTGAGAAGATACAAAACCTAGGGAATGTATGTACGGTGAATGAACACGAATCAAGAAGGGGAAAATCATGAGTAAAGTAATGCTTGGAAAAAAGTTCAATACCAAGGTCTGAGAAATGTTCTGGATTCAATTTACTGAAACACAATCAACTTCACTTGTATCTCTCTTTCCCAATGTTTTGATCATATATGATATGAATTCATGTCTTTTATACTTGGGATTTTAGAGAGACAACAGCTTTAAAATTTTCTTCATAGTCAGTGTATTTGATATCCATTAAAACCTACCAAAACTTCAAATTCAGTAAAAATACAACAATGAAAAACCAAACCAAGATTAGTTTTCCATGTTCAAGTAAAACTGAAGCAATTAAGCACAATTAGAGGATAACCCAACAAACAAGTTTGTACTTTTATTTCAAAATATGTAGGAAAAACTCACATTAATGAGCTCACCACGAGGAGCGTCCACACCAGAACCCACTGAAACATCACAGAAGCCAAGCCCAGAACGAACAAAGTTCAATTCACACAAAGGCTCCCCCACAGTGGCGTAGTATTCAATTCTTGTGGCATTAGCTTCCAAAGGTGACAATGCCACAAGTGAAGCTGCTAAAAGCCCAAAACCCCACATCCAAAACACTCTTCTTGGTCACAAATTTTGAAGCGCAAGACACCTTTGCATTGTTTTCAGCTGTGGACGGTGAAGAAGATGAACAAGAACAAGTGGGTTTGGAATTGCAGGAGGAGAAGGAGGTTGTAGGATGAAGGCTTTGAATATTGGGGAGGGGCTTTGGAGTTGTAAGGATTAGAGCAGAGACCTTCATTCTTCTTTTTTTTTTTTTTTTTTTTTTTTTTTTGCCTGCCTTTTTTTTTTTTTTGTTAAGTTTTGGTTAGCTATCTGAGTTTGAGTATGTATGGCTTAGCAAAATGATGACTGCTAAAACGACTCTGGTGCTTTGGTGTGGGAAAGAAGAGTGGATACGATGGGACCCATTTGGGGATGATCTGGGCCGGTAAACTGGGATAAGAGTCGATCTTGCCTTTTCTTTGAATCATAGTTGGGGAAACCCCAAAATTTGGGTTTTTTGGGCCGGCCCAAAATGTTATGAATTGAAAACCACAAGAAGATGAAACTTTATGCAAAGGTTGAGTTTTGATTAGTGAAGATGGTGTTATTGGCAACAATCAAAGAAATGGAACATTTTTGAATCATGTCTACCATAAGTTTTTAGAAAGTAGTCCCTGCCTTAGAGCCTTGAACACTTCAAGCCATTGCATATGGAGGACGGGAGATCCGAACTTATTACTTCTTTCAATATTGGAAAGAAAAATATCACTAAATTAATAGCTAGTCGATACTAAAATTAACTGAGATTATATACGTGGTTCTCCATAGAATGTATTAATATGATATTAAAGTAGATTGAACATTCACCAAAAGAAGGTAGAATTCAGAACTATATGAATTGTCTCTTTCAAGCAAGTAATGTAAGCTTAATGGGGTCTTACTTAAGTGTTTTTGTTCATTTTAGTTTAATTAAAAAGATTAAAATGTTAAGCAATGATTTTATAATTAGGTTGTTCTAATCAATTTTTGTGGGCGCGATCTCGTTCTTACATATCTATATTTCAATAGATACATTCCCTTGAGAGATTAATATTAATCTATTAGTTAATAGTTGGTTTATGTTTACATAATATCTGTGCATAGACTCTTTTAAGCAAGTAAGCTAAGTTCACTGCGATTTGTTGAGCTCATCATTTGATCTACATCACTAAAAATGAGTCAAAACTTTGACTCGGTTTAAATGTGAAGCCCCTTTAAAGACAATACCTGAAAGCCTGAAGCACATTCGTCCGTTAGTAAGTCACTCTCTTCATGCAAGTCACCTCACATTAAACTCATCTGTTTTGCTTTCCATTAAATCATAATCCTCTGCCATTACTACCCTCAGATTGGTTTTCAACTTATTTTGCATGCCAAAAGTACAAGAAGAAAGCAAAATATCACTCCCTTTCTTCCTCCAAATTCTCATCCATTCTTACCTCTAGTTTTTATGTCATTCATGTAATTTTGGGACTACTCTGTCAACTTCCTTGCCAAGGTCAGTGAAGGTTCTCGGTTTCTCTGGCATGTATTTCATATGTCAATTTATTTCGAATCATCACCAAATTTGAAACATTCAATTTAAAACAGATGCCACTATGTAACATTTTATTCTGTAGGACGAGTAAAATTCTGCACACGGCCTTTTATTTTGAAAAAAAAAATAGTTATTACCGTTGAGACCGTTAAAGGACACTTTTACCGTTAAGAGGGTTGGGATCAATATTTTGCGTATCTGTGTTCTCACGGGTGCATGGCATGGACCGTTAGGTTGAATATTCGAATCTTGGCCGTTAATACCGTTATGTTGTAATAAATATTCAAATTTTATTTATCAAATTTTTCATTGATATGGTTTTTCTTTTAATCTCATTTTAAGAAAGAGGATTCGTAAAATGTTTAAGAGTATTTTTTTTTTTTTTTTTTTTTTTTGAGCTACTTCTGGAGACTTAATGCTGCCCTTTCTTTTAATTTTCTCTATGATATTCTGAAAATTATTGTTAGATTTATCTTTCAGAGGCTTGTTTTGCACAAAAAATTTAATTGATATATATATATATATATATTTGCCCAATTCCAGCGAGAATCTCTCTCATTTATGACATGACACTCTTTTTACAAGCTCATCTTTTACACGTAGCAAATGTAACCTGAATATCATTTGTGTTATATATGACTTGCATTCTTTGATATATATATATATATATATATATATATCTCCCCTCTCAGAGTCATACTCTCATATATACACAGCCTTTGCTTAATTAGAGGAAAGCCATGGCCAACAGATCATCGATGGAGAGAAAGGTACGTAGGACTTCAATTTATTCATTTAATTTCTACTCTCATATGAACTGTGCTTTTCAATTACTTTTCTTTTATGCGCCATGGTGATATAAGTATGTATTAATCCACATTGGGACATACGTTTTCTGTTATACAAATTTATAAAAGAGGATAAAGTGATTTTTTTTACTGAGATGAACCAGTTTGCGAATTAGATTATCAGAATGATTTGGTTTTTATTTTATTTTTACATATCTAGGGGAAGGCACTTTTGGAGCCTCATCATGTTGCTTCGCAATTTCCTACTAGCAGCAGAAATGGGACAAGTTTGCAGCCCCTTGAAGTGAAGTCAGTGCTCTCTCTCTCTCTCTCTCTCTCTCTCTCTCTGAAGTTAGTACTCCTCCCTCCCACCCTCCCTCTCTCTCTGTGAAGTTAGTGCTCCCTCCCTCCCTCCCTCTCTCTCTCTCTCTCTCTCTAGATTAGTAAAGTAGTTTAAAGCTTTACTAAAATTTCCTTTCAAAGAAGGATTTAATCAATTTTTTTCTTTTTTTGTTATGTTTAATTTCTCATTTAATGACTCTACTTTTATGAACCCGCTCTACATTTAAAAGAAAAATATCACTAGTAAAACTATGAAACATAATAATAATAAAATGTCATGTAACTATCTAACTCTTGTTCTAATGATTTTTTTTCTTTTACAACATTCAAAAATGTCTCAACTTCAAATTCCCCTTCGACTGTGATGTTTGTTTTCTTTTTCCTTTCGTTTCTTCCCGAACTTTAAATTTTGTAAATATTATTTTACATATATCTATTTTGTCATGAAATTTGTAAACGCGCAGGAGGTATCCTAATCAAATATCGCTAAATAAAGCCCCCCAAAATCCAAACGCAAATGCCATGAATTTTCCTTCTTCAGTCCTGCTAAAAAAGGCCTTAAGTTCATTAACCGAACCACCAAAGTCCAAAAGTCCAGGTTCATCTTCAACAGCTCACCATGCCAATCCTACAAGCACCAATTATGGCAACAAAATCCATACCTTATCACCCTCTACAATTCCAACGCAGGTAATTAATTAGCTGCTTCTTAATTTCATTTGACAACTAAATAGTTGAAATAATGTGATTGTACAATATTCATGGCAGGCAAACAATATCCATTTGGGGTCTGTTCCATATCCGCTAGCACAACCAACTAACGATGGCCAGGGCTTCAATAGATCACTCCCAAGAAACCGGCGGCTCCCGGTGGTTGGCACAAGTGGTAGTGCTGCCTCAGCGCTGCCGTATTCCAGACCTGGAATATTGGGCACTAGTCCAGCAGTATGCAACTTTAAGTTGTAGTGGTTTGAAAGTTCATTATTTCTATTAAGCAATGTTTAATTACTGGACATTAATTAATTATATGCTGGGTTAAATTATTTTGGGGCTAATGCAGGGCAGCCAGGGGACCGTTGGACCAGTGATCATCACGGGACCAGTGCGTAGGAATGTCCCCACGTTTTCATGACTCGGTACAGGTATATATATCAGTCTAAACCCTAAAAGGGTTCTTAGTATATATTTCCCTTTTATTGCTACACCCTAATTGTATGTTTTAGCAAAATATATTACGTACTGGGAATGCTAGAGAGACCATATTATTGTACCATATATTACATCTCTAATAGAGGTGATATACCTACTCGTATTTGCGGGACATACCTCTATTAAAGATGTGATACACAATGTGCAAGGAGGGACGGAGCTACATACATGCCTGAAGTGGTTGTGTGTAAGTTCATAAACTTTTAAGCTATTTCTCCTGCCTCCGACTCCCGGTCCCCAAATATATAAACTCTAGCTTCACCATTACAATATGGTATTCCTAACCTTACTTTTACGTCCCTGCTATTTTCCTCACATTTCTGTATACTGAAAACGGACAGCTAATGGCGGTCCACTTATTGAACAGGGTTTATATGGTCGGTCCTAAATCACTTAACACATTTCTTTATATCATGACAGAGAGGAGCTGTGACTAATCAATATAGGCAACAGCTGTTAGCGAATGCAAGTATGGAGCTCCGACGAAGGTTTCCAAAAGTACGTAATTAATTAATTTAGGACAATATTGGACTTGGTTTAATTAGTTTCTAAAATGTTCATTAATCAATAACTGTTGATTAAGCACCGTAGAATTAAAAATCTTAATCACAGGTACAGGTACGGGGACCAATAAGAGACCATGATCATGAGAAGCTGGCATTGGCAACCGAAGAAGCCCATCAATGGCCTGTGATATATGGCCATCCTCTTCGGGTACGTGCCAACTTCTAATTATAAGTTCAACTTAAAAATCTATTAAATTTCAAAGTGACGGGCATGCGGCCCACTACTAACAACACTAATATGGGTCGGGTCAATGGCCACACCGAATCAAGGTGTGATCGATCTAGGTCAGAGTGTTAGTTTGAGTTTGGATTGGGGTGTTAAATTTCAAATAGACGAGCCTACAGCCCACTACTAAGAGCGCTTCCAGCAATGGCCCCTTGCCCAAGCAACAGGAGGCCCAAGCTCTAATTTGTAGTTCCAACGGGCTTCTACAGCCCTGGTAGCACATGGGTCCCACCAAACCAGGTTAGCCCAAAGGCAAGATCAGCCTGGGCTGTTGCCTAGGTTTGCTGACGTCATGAACCAAAAAAATTTTAAAAAATCTAAAAAATTACTAAAAATTTCAATTTTTTTAAAAATAAATCCTTAGTCATATTCTTCACTTCCCACACCAAAACTCTATACAAATTTCTATTTCCATGGTAACCACTATTCACATGAATAGTAACAGTCATTGCCTTGCCCTAGCCTTTTGTCATGGCAAATGGATGGAAGTGCTCTAACAACACTGATATTATCCCCAACTTAACCACCTACAAAGCCCAGTAAGTGTGGGGTTTTATCCCAAAATGCCTCAATGTTATTAAAAGTTGAACCACTTATTATAAGTTGTAGTTTAATCAGTCAAGTTTATGATATGGGACCTTTTTTTTATTTTTTATTTTTTTATATATTATGAGATAGGGGAGACAAAACCCCAAAAAAAAAACGACAACTAACTACCGATTTGGAACTTTATATTCTTCAACATAACCATTTTCACCATTTCTACTGTAGAGAGGAGATTTTTGAACTTTTAATTTTCTATTTTTAATATAAATTCTGATTACTTGTTTAATATTTCTGCGGCAGGATTTTGATGTAACCAAGGGGATGTATAATGGCAGAGAAGATGATCATTACTACCCCTTCCCAGCGCATCTTATCAACATAGATGATTTCAGTTAAATCCGAAAATGGGAAAGTAATTTGCATTTTACTTGGAGTAGGGTTGCTTGGAAGTTTAACATTAGCATGGCATGGACGTGAAAGTAGTGCTTGGAGCTTGGTTATATATTTGAATGTTTGTTTACTTGGAAATTATATGTTTCCATGCTTGTTATTTTTTATACTGCTCTTAATCAACAAATTATTCCGACAAAAGTTTGTTCTTGTGCTCCCACCCAAAAGTTTCTTTTTTAACTTCAATGAGTTGTTCAGAAAAATGTCAATGGAAAAGAAAAATTATTTAGACAAAAAAAACCTTTGAGAAATTAGGAAAACCCAATACAAGAACTAAAACAGAGGAAAACAAAGAAAATGAACCCAGTCCCACCCCTTGAGAGAAGTTAAGGTTTCACCCCAAAATTAATTGACAATGAGTGAGTAGCTCAACTCCTTTGCCGATGCAAGGTTTATAAACTTTAGGGTGAGGATCGTTGAAAAGTTGAGAGATCGGGGCTGTGGAAATTTATATGGAAATCTAAATTGATGTGAGCTAGACAAAACAAAAAAAAAAAAAAATTAAAAAAAAAAAAAAAAAAATCCAATAACTGCTACAAAAAAGTGACTCCCCTTTGCAAGAAGGAACCATCATTATTAAAAGGTGATGTTTATTTTTGGTAGTTCACCAATAAGTTGGACTAATTTCAACATGGACCACTTTTGGTGGTTGTTTTTAACATTTGCCTAAAATTTACAGAGAGCTACAATACAACTCAAAATTTTGAAATGGATTTCAATTATTGAATACAAAATAAATGTTCCTGTGCTAGATTTTTACAACAAAGAATGTAATTAAACTTGGTTCTTCAATTTTTCTTTTCTTCCTCTGCAACCTCTTGCTTGGTATATTTACTGAAGCACCCACAAGACAAGCACCAATGACTATGGCCTGTGAACTCCTCTAGTTGCACCACAGCCCATTATAGAGGAAGGCAATTTTCCCACCTTATCAATTCCTGATTCAAACACCACACCCATTCCCATATAGAAATGAGACTCTATGTGGCAATGAAACGCCCAAGCCCCTGGATTATCTGCCCTGAACCTCAGAGCAGTCCACCCATAACGATGAACTGGCACAGTATTCTTCATGATAGGGTTCACCAAATTGTACTTCTTTGGATCATTGAACATGTCAAACTTGCCCTCCCCATATCCCAGGACCCAGAAATCATGCCCGTGAAGATGCCACGGGTGAGTCTCGCTGTTGTTCGGGTTCCTGGTGTTGGCATTTTGGAGTATAAGGTCCACTGTTGTATTGAACTGGAGCCTATAAATCCCATTGCTTACTGTAGCATTTGTGTTGTTTGGTGTCTTGTAAATGTCATAGTTTACAAAATCGTACCCATCAGGTGGAGAAGTTTGATCAAATGCATCAGTCAAGTTCTGCTTGAGGGCAATGAGATAAGGTGTGTGAGGATGAGTGAATGACACATTGTTGACTGACCAGCGGACATAACCGTTGACGGTGTTTTGTGTGTTGAGAAGCACAATCACTCTGTCTGCGGTTGGGGGAGGGGTGTGGATGAAGCCTTGGTGTGATTTGATGGCAAGACTTTGATCCAATCGGGCGCGAACATTGTCCCAAGCAGGGCCTGCTGGGGGTACCGCCGAAGGAGATCTCCTCGGGTGGTTTGGATAGTAATTGAGAATGGCTAAACCAGGTGGGGTGGTGGCATTTCGGCTAACCACATTTGTTGTCATCCAATAATTTCTTGAAGGGTCTTGGTCTGCTTTTATTAGCACAGAATATGTCTCACCAGAATATAAGAAAAGGTTCTTCACAACAAATGGCTCAACATAATGCCCGTCTGCCTCAACCACTGTCATATTATGGCCCTGCAACATGGACAAGTTTTGTTAATTATATGCTAATACTTAAAATTATGCAGATTGTGTTCTGCATACTACATGAACATGGATAAATTAGTACCTCTATTTGAAAACTGAGGGCAGACAGAGAAGTCAAGCTAGCAACCCTTAGTCGATACGTCTTGCCAGGGACGACTGTCATTGAGTAAGGGGAGCATTCGGGGTTCGTTGCGTTACAAACTTCGGGGTCTAAGCTTGGAGTGGTCAGTGTGGAGCAGTCGAATCTTCCTTTTCCTTGTATCAAAAGCGACTGAAATTTTGGAGAAAAGGAAAACCCATTAACAAGTGCATTGACAGCAGCAAACAGTAAACTAGTAAATTCTATTTGTTACCCAAAAACTGAATAGAGAGACAATTAATTACCTGAGGTTCCCCAACCCAGGCAAACTTAAGGGAGGACAGCCCAACTGCGTGTTCATAAGTGCTCTTGTGGTACCAATCATTAAGTATGATGCTTCGATCATAATCGTAAGAAAATGGCTCTGATTCTCCATCAGGAAGTGCTACACGGATTGAACCATATAAACCAGCTTCTCTTTGCATTCCATAATGAGCATGGTAGAGGTATGTTCCAGGCTGCAAAAGGCAATTTTATCATACATGGAGATCAGTATAAATTATTAATTCAACAACAATAATCTGTCTACCATGAAAATGATGTGCTACTTACCCTATCAACCACAAACTGATATTTGAAGGTGTCTCCAGGCACTATTGGGCATTGAGTCACACCTTCAGTTCCATCACTCCATGGTGTTCCAATCTGCAACCGAAAAAAGAAGCACACTTTCAGATGCTATGAAACATTAAAAAAAAGTTTGCTGATCAACTAACAAATAAATAGGAATTGAGGAAATTACGAGGATTGTACCTGTCGAATTCCATGCCAATGTATGGCTACATTTTCTGTCCATAAACTGTTTGTAAGCTCAACAATGATGGTGTCTCCCTGCTGAGCAAGTATGGTTGGTCCAGGAGATCTACCATTAATGGTTATGACCAGCTTCTTGAAGCAATCAGGGGACTTGTACTCATACTTCACCTCCCATTTGTAATGCCTAATTCTAGCCTCCACTGCTGGAACCTCAACCAAAGACAAGAACAGAAACAAAGCCAGAAATAACTTTAAAATGCAACCATTTCTCTGTAAAAGCTCAACCATTTCTCTTTGGAACCTTTACAAAGCTCACTGAAAAAACTACAGAGACTCTATTTGAAAGTTGATGAAATATTAATTATATTTCTGTAAAAGTGCTAGCTGCTTCAATTGCTTTTCCCCCCTCCAGCTCTATATATAGTGTCTGAGTCTTTGGTCAAACATGGTAGCTAAAGACTCAATCAATTACTCAGTCTTTGGCGAACCATGAAATTACTGGGTATTTTCCTGTTTATGAGCCTGTGTTTTTCGTATGAACCTGACATCTTCAAATTATTTGCAAACATCAGGAAGGTGGAAGAGATCCTTAATTAGGAATTTGTCTCATTGACTTAATCTGTTCATAACCTTGAGTGTCTCTTGCTCTACCTAGTTATTGTATATTTAGCTTCATCTTTTTGTAATGGGGATCGATTTGTTTATTCTTTTCTTTTTTTATGAAGTTTTAATTGGTCAAACCAACTCCATGTCCATGTTGCCAAGTTGTATTTTGCTTTTTCTTTTTCTTTTTGGCGCCGAAATGTTGTACCATATCATGTCAAAACAAGAGAAAGAAATCCAGCAGTAAGGTGGCAATTTCTATGAAAACTCGTTGTTTCAGGCTTTGGTTCTTGCAGCAACAAGAAGACATACTATGGATGTAAGCTTATTTGAGATGAATTTTTTGTGGAGCTCATCATACTTTGTATTTCAAACATCCGAACTAAATATCTTTTTTGTCTTTATTCGTAAAATGCTTTGTATTTCAAATATCCGAACTAAATATCTTTTTTGTCTTTATTCGTAAAATGCTTTGTATTTCAAATATCCGAACTAAATATCTTTTTTGTCTTTATTCGTAAAATACTTTGTATTTCAAACATCCGAACCAAATATTCTTTTTGTCTTTATTCATAAATCATTTTTACGAGAAATCGACAATATGAAAGCGATATAAACACATTAATTAATTATGAAAACATTAAAAGAACATCCATTTGATCGAGAAGATGGAAGAATCGTCCAGTTGAAGCTGATTAAATATAAGCAAAATATGGTCACGATCACATTTTAAACTCCTTTATCGATCGTATTGAATTACACTTGTGTATTTTATATGGCGGAAAAAAGTGCATACGTATCCCTCTAGTTTATCCTATCTACACAAGTGTTCGGGTGGTCTATTTTGTGACCCTATTAAGTATTGTCCTCTACAATAAGTATTATTTAAGAAATATCATTGTGAGACCCTTATGGTGTAGGTTGAGGAGGACCCTCTCCTTAGCTGGGGCTTCACCAAAGTTTGATCTGCATTGACCCGTTGACCAGAAAATAGTAATAAGCATGGTGCCCTATCCAAATATATCCATGCATGATTACCCCACCATTCCCGGTATGGAACTAATTAGTACCTAAAAAAGGGTTTTTACATATAAGTTCATAAATAGGATCTAATATATATATCCTTGATAGGGGTGGAAATTTGGATAGACATTTAAAAAATTGACGGTGAGTCCTTAATTGGCCATTTTCATATAGTTTGAGTCCTTAATTTATATAAACAAATAAAACAAAACAAAACAACAGGTAAATTGACAATTATGATTTAGTTCAAGGGACAAAACCACACTTTAGCTATAAAATAATGATTTTGTTTTTTCAATTTTCAATTTTAAAACCGAAACAATAATCTAGCCACTTTCTATTTAAATGTACTTCAAATGTAGTTATTGGCCTCTTTTCCTATAAGTAATAAATCTTGTTATGTCATAAATATATGGAATGTGGATGACCACCATATCATCCATTACCTCCAATTTTTAATGAGTTGTAACCTATGTTATTGCTATTGTAATTAGTGCCCTTTAACTACAAATTATGGGTTAATTTTCTATATATGGTTGTAAGCATATAAATAGGTGTTTATCAAAAATGAATGTGATAAGTTGGTAGAGCAAATTCTATTGCCTTTCTTTTCTCTCTACAATTTCCTCTACTTTTTTAACATGTTAGTATATACATAATTGTAAAAAAATATTGAAATGAAGTTATAAAAAAAAATTACAAAAAAATGCAATATATAAGTCAAATTTGGCGTGGGCCTATATCGATCCGTTTAGTGGCTCGGCCCAGTTCCATATGGACTAGGGTTGTGGGCTTGGGCTGGACTTGAGGATTTTCTTAAATAGACGGGTCCGACACGGCCCGTTTATTAAATATACCAACTCTAAACTAGCCAGACCGGCCCGACACGGCCCATTTGACGCTTTTACTCTTTATTTAACTCTGTAAATACATGTGTTCGACCCTTTATTCGACCCAAGATATGTCAATGCTTTGATATGTCAACGCTTTCACATGCAAAAAGGTTAGAATCTAACTTTTGACATGACAACTCCGGTGTAACTAATTTATATCTATATCTATATATAATGCAAAAGATCATTATTGTTGAAATTTTAAAAAACCCAACAAATGCCCTTACTGAACCAAAATAATAAAAGAAAAGACAATTATAAAATGAGTGTAAAATAATTTTTTTTTAAAATACTATAATAAATTACACATTTCTCCTCACCCTAAAGTCCTAAACACATTTGTCATTCCTAAAAAAACAAATATATATATAAAGCCACTTGACATGCGTGAGCATAGATTGAGAAGCTAGTATTATATAAGAGCATCTCCAAGAGACGAGATAAAAGAGTAGGCAAACCTCGCGTGGTCTAGAAGCATGACATAATCTTAAAATAATTTCTGGTTTGCTTTGCATGTGTGCGTTTGTCTAAACCTCACATGATTATAATCTATATATATAAAACAAAGGCAGAGAATTGTGAAACATTCAAAATACCAGAAAATGTCCTTGATTAATTCAAACATTAAGAATTAAAATTATAAATTAAATGAGGATAATATGGTAAATTCACATTTTTTTCATATTAAAAAAATTAAAATTAAAAACAAAATCAGATAATAGGTCCTACTTTTATGGAACATAACTACCCATATTATTTTTTTCTTAATTCTAAAAATAAAATAAAAATAAAAAAGAAAACCAATTGGCGAGCATGTGCCAAGGGGCTAGTAACTAATTACATTAGAGTTGAGTCATTCCACACGACTAAGACAAGGTCAATTACCTAATATTTAACACACAAAATTAATTAATTAATTTACGATACGAAGCCACAACTGAAATTGTCTAGGTGACTCAGAGGTTCAGCACATAAATTGTCAAGGTCTTCAACTGAAATTTCCATGGGGAATATGTTGTAGAATACAATTTAGTTCAAGTGATCACACAGAGAGATGGGAATAGAAAGATGAGGTTGCAAAATATAAGAATGACAAACGTTGCAAAATGTTAGTCAACTGCGTATTCATAGTATATTTTGAACATTTCCTTGAGTTGACATTGACAATTACGTTGATTTTTTTATAGATTACGAAGCTATATAGCAACGTACTTCATCAAATACAGTGCCAATTAAACAATCCTACAATAATTTGTGAATTATATCAAAGATGGAATAATGACAGTCTAGAGAAAGAAAAATAGATATACTAATATGAGTATCGATACTATGTGGTTATTCATTCTTATAAGGACTAAAAAATTTGTCGATAAAATTAAATTGATCTCTACCGTCTGATTTTTCAAAAATTCTGTTAAATTGCTGACATGGAACTTAAGTAGAGCCCACATGTCATCAAGTCATGTGAATTTTCTACGAGAAAAAATATAAAAAAAAACGCTCAATTTTTAGCTATTCATTGACAAAGGATATTTCAGAATGTATTAAACATGGGCAATACTGGCTGGAAAAAGGTTGTTTCTGCATTTGGAGATGACGTTTTACAACCTGATGCAGAAGTTGATAGGCCTAGACTAGGCCAGCTTATATTCTCTAATCCCGAACAACGCAAACTTCTGAATTGGTACTTACCCTTTTGCATATCGTTCCAACTGCCACCATATCACCATCAAGGGGCCTGATCCTTGAACTCACCTAAATAACCTGATAATGTAATCACGATTCCATGTACGTACGTTTCAATAATGCTAAATGTTCCTTGCCCAAGAAAAATCAAAGAAAACTCAAAGTTATAGTTCAATGGTCTCTGAACACAACATTCCAATGGTGACTGGCTGTTCCTCCAAGAAAAGAAACCCTACATAAAATAAGACATGAAATATGTGCAGAGGCTAACTGATTTTATCAAACCCTAAACCTAGAAAGACACCCATCTGGTCCCCCCAGCATAAAACCCACTTCTTGCTCAAGAGAGTTCAAAAACCCATTAGATCATGGAAACCTCAATGTAGCACAAACAAATCTACTGCAAGAATCTCTATTTCAGGACAACACAAAAAAGGTCCCAAAATTTACAAGATACTAAAGCACAAAGAAAACAGCTCAATCTGACCTTTTCCCAAAATTACTCCACTGCAACCACAATCATAGAAAATCATCTCATTCATCTCTCACCACAACCTCTGTTGCCGCAACCGGTGCACCCACCCAAAAATTTAATCTACTCCGAGCACTATCCTATAAAGAGACACAGAGTGGTTGGAGGGTTAGAGGGGTCGTGTAATGTAAAATGGGTCAGCCTGTCTCTAAGAGGTGTGAGCCCAAGTCTACATAGTGACGGTCATTAAGAGTGAACGGGCCAGCTTATATGAAATAGGGAAAGGGAAATGGATACAAATAGTTTGGATCCAGAGGCAGTTGTGAGGAGCCACTGCAAATCCAATTTCTTAGGGCCCCCAAATTTTTGGCCCATGCATAAATGAAATAAGTATGTTAAACGTAAATTTCCTTACTAAGTTTGAGCTTAGCTCGGTTGGTCGATCGTGTTTTACATCCCACACGAGCGTTATTGGATATGTGGACTTCACCTAAATAACCCATCAACAATAACAGAAGTTTTGACGGAACTTGACGATATGGACCAATTTGATATATCCTAAGTAATCTTGAGAACCAATCATCTCATGAAAAAATATAAATGGTCAAATGTGATAATTTCGTGAACTTCATGAACTATTTGTGAAAATAATTTTTTTTTATAAATACAAGTGATAATGGGGAAGGGGAATCGAACGTAAAATCTTAAGTGCACGGGTAAATGTTCTTAACCGACTGAGCTACAAGCCCATTGCTTTGTTGTACTGATTTTTATGAAAGAGCAAAAAGATTTCGAACAGAAGCCAACAAGTTCCAAAAGAAAAGAAAAATACTATTTTGGAAAAAAAAAAATAATAATAATTACTGCACGAATTGGAAATTACGCTCCAAGACGTTAGAACTAACGCAACACAATTCAATAAAATTAGAATTAAATATTTTTTTTTCATTGAGTTTTATAAAAATTTCAATTTAGTCATTTTTTTTATCAAATTTTATTTTAATTTAGTCACTGAATTAAAAAAAATTGTGAATTGGAAATTACACTCCAAGACATTAGAAAGTAATGCAACACCAGTCAATAAAATTTATAATTCCAATCAGCAATGCCACCAGTTTCCTGATTCCGTTTCGTTTTTTTTTTTTTTTTTTTTTTTTTTTTTTTCTTTTTGAAAAATACTTTTAATACTTTTCAAACGAGGGGCAATCTCGATTCTCTCTACTCCAATTTCCACCACAAGGAGGACGCCAACCAATAACTTGGCAAATCGCCGGAGGTAAGAAATGTCTTCCATTCTTTCTGATTCAGTTGGTTTGATCTTGTTTGTATGAGTGCTTATTAGCTTGCATGGAAAGAAAAAGGCATGTTCTTACCATGAAGGGCATTTTGTTTTGCTGGAAATGTAAACTGATTGGGTTCTTGTAATTTTATGTACTGTAGTTTCTTGTTTCTGGTTTCCTGTATTTGGGTAAGTTGATTGCAGAAACATTTTCAAAATTAAATTAATAAGAAAATGCAACCAAAACTGTTGTCAAATTGCAAATTTTTCTTTATTCTTTATGTTCTTACTTGAATGTGTTGATAGAAACAAATGGTAAAATTATTATATGCAACAACAGAGAGGCTCTTCATTTCTAGGGAGCCAAATTCCAAATCTTTAGAATGGGGAAATTGATAGGGTGCACTGGAGCTCCATCTTTGTCTTACTTCTCAAAAGAGCTAAAGAAAAGAGATAGCTAGAGCAATTTTCATTGGAGATGCTCTAAGGCCTTTAGCTAATTTTGTTCTTATATTTGATTTTGCATTCAAGAATGAGGATAGTAGGACTGACAGGTGGAATTGCGTCCGGGAGAGCACCGTCTCAAATCTCTTCAAGGCCCATGACTTTCCCGTCGTTGACGCAGATCTTGTTGCTCGTGTAAGTAATGATCAAGCCCTTAATACTCTTATATTGAAATCATAAAAGATTTATGGCAGTATATTGTTTTTAGCTAGTTCATTGACAGAGGATATTTCAGGATGTATTAAAGAAGGGCAAAACTGGGTGGAAAAAGGTTGTTTCAGCATTTGGAGATGACATTTTACAACCTGATGGAGAAGTTGATAGGCCTAAACTAGGCCAAATTATATTCTCTAATCCCGAAAAGCGCAAACTTCTGAATCGGTACTTACCCTTTTGCAGATAGTTCCATTTTTCTTTTGTGTTCTAATTGAGATATCACTTAGTAATACTATTAGCTGTATGATTTTACTTCCTACTTCAACATTATCCCTGGTGCAGTTGAGTAAATCATAATCTTTTACAAATCTAGTCACCATTGAATACAAAAAGTGTGAGAAATTTAATATTATATTTAATATTAATTTTCTATTTGAATGGAAATTAATAAAATCCATTGGGTTAAGGACATGACCCTTGGGTTAAAGACATATTCAATTGGGGGGTGACAACTCTTCGAACTAAGGAATACATTGTTTGGGGTGATAACTCTTCAAGACCAAGGGATGTATTGTTTGCCTTTTCAGATTGGGATACCTTTTTGGAAAGGGTATTTCATCATCTATAAATAGACCAATCCTCCTGCAGTTTTAATCATTCAATCAATTCTCTACATACATACTTTCAAACATATAGAGCATTAGAGTTTCATAAGGAGAGGTTCCTGCATAATTTTGGTTCAAAGTTCCTTGTGAATTGCAGTGCTTCTTTCATAAGGAGGAGAGTCGTTGTATCCTGGGAGGCGAACGCTAGTGAACCATAAGCACCAGTGTGGGGCGTAATTCGTCTTAAGGTCAGAGTGTCCAACACTTGCCTCGACTCAATTAAGGTTCTTGTAATTCCATCTGTTGTTGTAAAAATCTGTTTTGTTTGTAGTGTTTATTTATTTATTTTATAGCAATTTAGCACTCACTTTTCCTACAATCTTAAGACGAATTATATGTGTAATTGCTATATACATTAATCTGTGTTTAAATTGCCATATGCATTAATCTGTGTTTGTGCATTTAAATGTTAATGTTGCAAAAGGTTTGATTTTGTACAAACAGCAAAACATTTTTTTTAATTAGTTGTCTATTCTATTGAATTGGTTTCCTGTTAGTTTCTTTTGTTTTATACAATTCAAAGTTAAACAAATCTAAGTTATAATAATCGGGACCTTTCAATAAAGTTTGCCACAAACACTGATTGCCTTCTGTTTCTATTGTTAGACAAAGTCTACTTATACAGCATCGGTTTTTTTTTATTTTATTTGGAATCTGTTTTCTGTTTGGCATCATTTTTATTATTCTGTTTATAAAATTCTGATTATATTTATCCATATACATTAATTTCACTGTACCTGTGAATTATAGCATTCTGTATTACTGTTATCTTGAATAATTGCATATTGCGTTTGCTATACTTTTTATTGGTATTGTGTTATTAATTCTGGTTGTGTTTTATTGTAACACACTATTGCGATTCATTATTTATCTATTAAAGACTGCCAAATATTTGTTTATTGACATTAAGATTGTTCACTCAATTAAGGAAAATGTCGAATGAGATACAGAAAGTGGGTCCTTCTGTGAAGACAAGTGCACCTGCTGTGTGTGTTGCCTTCATCCCATAATCATGCAGAAAAGCCTGAGAAATTAATGGGATAGATTTTAAGAGATGGCAACAAAAGATGTTCTTCTACATCACCACATTGAATTTTGGCTCATATCTTGAAAGCAGATCCTCCTGCACCTGGTGATACAATAGAAACAGTGGCTGCTTCTGATGCATGGAACCAGTCGGATTTCCTTTGCAGGAACTACATCCTAAATGGTTTAAGTGATGCACTATACAATGTGTATAGTCCAATTCAGACTGCCCAAAGCTTTATGGGAGTCACTAGACAAGAAATATCGGAACGCCCCCACCGCCTGCCCCCCTCCCGCCGCTGCCGGGCCTGCAGCCCCTTTCTTGTCGGCGGGTTTCTTGCTCCAAGCTGGTGCCTCCCGCCGTCTCCGGCCCGTCACGCCCTCCCCTCCTTCTACAGGAGATACCTGCAGCCACGGGCCGCTTGCTCGTGCGGTTTCCCGGTGGCTGCGTCCCTTGCCCCTTACCACCCCTTTGGGGGCCGGATTCCCCCCTCCCTTCGCCTCCGCGCCGGCGTGGGACTTGCGGCTTTGTCGTACGGCTCCGGAGCCGCGGCCCCTCGGCCCGTGCTGCCCCCCGTTGGCTCTCGCCTGGCCGCTCCGGCTACCCGTCGTGGCCCCCGCGTCCGCCCTCCCCCGCCGCGCCGCCTCTGGAGCCGGCCCCCCCTCCCGGGCCCCCCCCCGGCCGTCCCGGCGTTTTCCGGGCCCTGCCTTCCCTTGCCCCACGCCCGGGCCATCGCGCGTGCGGCTTGCGCCGTCGCACCTGGCCCCGGCCCCCCCCACGCCCCCGGGCCCCGCCTGACCGCCCCCGGACGCCGCCGCTCCCCTTCCTGCTTGCCGCATTCCTCTTTCTGCAGTCGTGTCTGCCGTGCCCCTTGGTGGGGTCAACCACGCCTGGTGGGGGCTCCTGGAGCTCCCGCCCCCTATGTTTCTGAAAGGCCGCTGTTTTTACCTAGTGCAGAAATGACAAGGCGAGCCTTTATGCCTGGGCCCTCCTCCCCTCCAAATTCCTGGCCACGGGAAAATCATTCCAGATGACATGGGACCGGCGTCACTCTCATCCTGTCCTTTCCCGTCCCTGACATCGGCGCCCCTTGGGTTTGGATCCTGTCGCACGCCTGGGTTCCGTCGTCTTTGGTCTGATACTTTTCCTCCTACGCCTGGCATGTCTGGTGGGGCCAAGGTCCCTTCCTGCTGGCCTTTCCCCGCTGCATGTCCGGCCTGTGTCCCCCCCGTTCCTCTCCTCCCGTCGTTTGCTTCTCTGCTTGCGTCCTTGCTTGTGGCCTGGCCGCTTCGGGCTCTGGTCCTCGCCACTTGCGTCCCGCCGTCACCTGGCACTCCCTCCGTTATATGCTTTCCATCCTCCTGTGCACCCTGTGTGCCTGCCCCCCCTCCCGGCTCTCTCATTCCCCGTCTATCGCCCGACGTCCCGCCCCTTCGCATTCCTTCCCCGGCTTTTGTGCCTTACCCTTTGTCCACCCTCGCGGTGGTCCCAGTCTTTTCTTCCTTTTACTGCTGCTGGTCCCAGCTATTGTCACTCTCTTTGATGCGCCGCCCAGCTGCGGCCCTCGCCATGTTTCCCCCCTTATCCCCGTGCCCGGTGCGCCCCCCCTCGCCCGGCCCCTCCCGCTCTTCCGCCGTGCTCGCGGTGGTGCATCTGAATCCCCTTTTAGGGAGTTTTGTTCCCCCCCCGGATATGCCCCCACTACTGCTCCCTCCTCCCCTCCGCCACGGTTGCTGCCCGTAAACATCGTCCTTTCCCGCCCTGCTGACGCTTTGTAGTCGTTCTGGCGCCCCCGCCTTGTGGGGGGCCGCTTTATGTCGGCTACCCTCCATTTCCACCACTTGGCTCCTCCCCCAAGTTACGCCCCCCCCCCTTCTGCGTTCTGGCCCCCCCCACGCGCACCCGTTCCTCCTCCCTGCCCGTTGGGGGTTGTCTCGCTCCCGTTGCGGTTTTCCCCCCTTACCACGGTTCGCTTGGCCCCCCCATTCTTGCCTGTCTCTTTCTGGTTTCGCCTTCCTCCCGTCGGCTCTCGTTTCTTGTACCCCCTTGCTCTATTGCCTGTCCATGTGCCTCCGCTTATTGCCTCATGCCTGATTTTCTTTTGCCCCGTCTTTCCTTCTCCCGTGCTCCCCCCCCCCCGCACGCCCTCCGTGCCGCACCTCTGCTCCTATCTCGGATCGCCAAGAAGGTCCTCAGCCCATTATCGCCCCCGAGCCTGTTTGCCCCCCGCCACTGCCCATGCCCCCCGGCGTCTCCGCGAGCTCCGTCCCCCCCATCCTTTGGATCCTGAGTGTCTAACTTCTTGTTCGCCCCCTGCGCCTCCCCCTCCCCCGACGCCCCGCCTTCTCCTGCCGCTCCTTTCTGGCACGAGGTTCTTCGGCCGACGTTGCCTCCATTCTGCCCGCTCACCTTGGGCCCTTGTGGCTCTTCCTCTGGACCTACCCCTGGGTTCCACTGGCTTTTCGCCGCCGATGCCGCTGCTGGCTCCCTGCCACCCCCTCTCCGGCAGGCGTGTCCCCGGTCTCCCCCCCCGCAGATTGGATCCGTTGCCACCTATTCCCCGTTCGCGGCTCCCCTCCTCGAAGGTTACTTGCCCTTGCAGCATTGCCTACTCTTGGCTCCTCCCCGGCTGTGCCACGGCTTTTCTCCCTGGTGCTTCGCTTGCGGCACTTTCTCGGGCCACCCCTGACGGGTTTCTTGGTCCTGGCCCGACCCTCCCGTATGTCAGTTGTTACGTCTTTGTCCGGTTCACGCCCGCCCCCCCCCCCGGGCCCCTCTGGCCCTTTGACCCTGCACTCCTGTCACTGGTTTCCCGCCCTGCAGTGTGACACTGTGTTTCTTGGCCCGCCCTCCCGATGGTTTTTCATTCTTGTCTTTCTGGTGCTGCTCTGTTCATTCTTGGTCGCCATCTTGGGCTGCTTCACTATCTCCCCCGGCCCGGACGGCTGCTTTTTTTTTTTTTTTTTTTTTTTTTTTTTTTTTTTTTTTTTTTTTTTTTTTTTTTTTTTTTTTTTTTTTTTTTTTTTTTTTTTTTTTTTTTTTTTTTTTTTTTTTTTTTTTTTTTTTTTTTTTTTTTTTTTTTTTTTTTTTTTTTTTTTTTTTTTTTTTTTTTTTTTTTTTTTTTTTTTTTTTTTTTTTTTTTTTTTTTTTTTTTTTTTTTTTTTTTTTTTTTTTTTTTTTTTTTTTTTTTTTTTTTTTTTTTTTTTTTTTTTTTTTTTTTTTTTTTTTTTTTTTTTTTTTTTTTTTTTTTTTTTTTTTTTTTTTTTTTTTTTTTTTTTTTTTTTTTTTTTTTTTTTTTTTTTTTTTAAAAAGGGGGGGGGTTTTTTTTTTAGGGGTAAGTTATAAGGGGTTCACTTTATAGTCATTGGATCAATCGAAGGGCTGGGGAGAATTGGGATAAAGTTGTGCAATCGGGTAGGTGAGGAACCCAAACCCGAATTTAATATCCAGCAATGAAGTTGGTCCCAACAAAAAAAAAAAGAGAGGCAAGTTCGAAGTTTGAACAGAAAAAAACCCATTGATCTCAAACTCATAGCTGAGAGAAACCGCTAAGCTCTGAGAAACGGTTGAAGGCAACGGGCAACGACGGTTGAAGGCAAAGGTTAACGACGGTTGAACGCAACTCCACTATCTAAACCGTGAAAAAGTATTTATTTTGAGTGGAAGGAGCAAAGGCGTGGATTCTGAAACAGTGAAGACGAAGCAGTGGAAGGGGAAGGAGAGAAGCCGTATTCGTTGGAAGTGATAGGTTCCATTTGTGGAGCAAAGCCGCACAAAGACCCAACACAGACACCTTGCGATTGTTCAATAACCAGCATTTGGTGAGTAATTTATGGAATTTGAGTTTAGGGTTAGAGTAACCGTTTTCCCCAATTTGTAGCATGAATGTTGTTAGATTTGGCATCTCTTCTTTGTGCTTCACTTGCATGTTAATTTTTGCTTGGGTATATGTTAAAAAACGAATGAATATAAAGTCAATAACATGTCAATAACATGTCAATAATGATATGAATAAGGTAATGGTGTTGAATTGGAGGAGGCCCTCAAAACCTTCCACATTTGAAGCAGTGCAGAGTGCAGATTATCTCTCTGGAGCTAGAATATATATAATTTTTGAAATAAATATTATTTCCGTTGTTACTAAATTTGCCTGTTAAAAATGAGAACAGATAATAATAAACTCATGAATAAAAGTGCAAAGCATTTGAAAAAAGGTTGATCTATGACGATTATGGCTGACTGAAGAAAAAGCTAGAAAGAAAGAAGGATGTGGCAATGGCTTAGCGAGCAGATAGCAGAGCAGATGCTTTGCTTTGCTTCCTTCCACCATCTTTCTCATTTATTTATTTATTTATTTTGTGTTGTGTATGAAATGACAATAATTGTCATGTGTGTGAAGTGCAGAACTTGCCTAGATTGCACTCACACTCACTCATGCATCAACCATTGATTGGAGTTTGGATCCATAAATAAAACACATGCTAGTGCTTGTAATTCACAGAATCATTGCATTAACAGGTATTTGCACAAAATATGTCATATTGCTTTGATGATGTTAAAGCCTGTGATCAGTAATCCCTATGCGCATGTACTTTGTAAAATTTGTAATGTGCTGGTTGACTAGTTGTGTAAATACCAATGTGATTGTGCAAATACGTGGTAGTATATGTGTTCACGTTATTTCATCTTGTATTTCAGGAAATGGGATCCAACGTTGAGCTGGTATGGCCAGAGTCAGAGGCATATTCCTCACGGGTGAACAACTGCTCACATGCAAATTCATCCCTAGCTGTAATTCGAGCGAAGTTGAGTGCCGAACAATTAGAACAATTCAAGACATCATGCTTTGGCCATCTTCTGAATATAGATAAGATTCAGTTTAGCGGGCAGATTGTGCATGGGGTTGTGTTGCGTAGAGTAGCGGGGCAGGGTGTGAAAGACTTGGATGGACTGAGTTTCTTAATAGGGTGCGACGTTGCTCAGTTCACTCGTCAGGATTTCTGTTTGATCTCAGGGCTTCGTTTTGGGGAAGTGCCTGAAGTTTCCAGTGGAGAAAGTGATGAAATTAGACTTCAGAAAAGATATTTTATAGACGAAGGAATTACATGTAATGCTTTAGAAGAAGCATTTGTGAGGTGCACAGAGGAAGATGACGTCTACAAGCTAGCTCTTGTTTACTTTGCTGAGTTAGTGGTTTTGGGAAGGGACAAACATTTGAACATCAATCTAAATTACCTGACCCTTGTAGAGGACTTGGATGCGTTCAACAGGTTTCCATGGGGTTCGGTGTCGTTTGACAAAACCCAAGACAGTCTGTTTTCTGCACCAACAAAGTATGTGAAAAGCTTTGAAAATGAAGAGGGAAGAGGGAAGGGGAAATGTAAGGTAACCGGAACAAGCCGGAGAAATGAGAAGGGCAAGAAGGATAACCATGGTGAAGTGCAAAGGGGTGGCTGGAGTTTTAAAGGTTTCACGTATGCTTTCCAGGTACATGGTAATAATGTTCATGTCGTTATGTTTTGTTGACTTTAAAACTTAAATAATAACTTGTGTCCTGTGAATTGTGTAGATTTGGGTATATGAATTAATTCCTAGAATGGTGGACCTGAATTACTGCAAGGTTGTTGATCCGACAGCTCTCCCGCGTATTTTGCGATGGAGAACTACTACGTCTGTTCCCGAGATGAGAAAGTTGAACAATTATTTTTTCCAGAGCAAAGAGGTTTGGTTTGCAGCCCTTGGAACTATTTATAAGATTCAATGAAATTATGAAGTAGAATGATTGCATATGACTCTTGTCTGTTTTCTGAAACAGTCAGTTCAGTTGCGGGCGCTATGTCCAAGTGAAGAGGAAATGAGACAACCATATTGGAGTTGGCCACAGGGTCGCCCTGCTGTTGTCTCGGCAGAGTCAATTCCTTCTTCATGTGCTGACCTTGATGAGTTGAACAAGGCGGTAAGCTTGTTGAGGTCCGAGTTGTTTCAAGTAAAGCGGGAAAAGGACGTCCTTGAGTTAAAGGTCATACGGATGGAAAAAAATTTGGGCCACTGTTTAGGTCCTCATTTTGAGCAGGAAGTGAGAAGGGACATAGCTTTACTGAAAGAGAGGACGAATCGTTGTGTCGTGTCACATCTATTTAAGGGATATGAGGAAGTGGATGGCATGCAATGGGATGAAGGGCCAAGTAATAGAAATGAAGGAGAGGCAAATGAAGAGGAGGACATTGAAGGGGGTGAAGGGCCAAATAACAGAAATGAGGGAGAGGACAAGGAAGAGGAGGGGATTGAAAGGGGTGAAGGGGCAAGTAAGACAAATGAGGGAGAGGAAAAGGAAGAGGAGGGGATTGAAGGGGGTGAAGTGCCAAGTAAGAGAAATGAGGGAGAGGAAAAGGAAAGAGAGGGGATTGAAGGAGGCCAAGTGCAAAGAAAACCAAGGGAG